ACACCACTCTGCGTGATTCCCGCCCCATTTGAACCATCCGGCTTGAATCATTCCCTCTAGACACCACTCTGCGCGATTCCCGCCCCATTTGAACCATCCTGCTTGAATCATTCCCTCTAGACACCACTCTGCGTGATTCCCGCCCCATTCAAACCATCCTGCTTGAATCCCGCAAACTACATTTGATTTTATGCAGGTTCTATATTGTATACCATCGAACTACCGTGCCTGCGTGAATCACGCCTAAAAACGCCTGGAGTGTATGGAGTGCACGAAGTGTACCGTCGGGATTCCCGCAGGAGTGCGAATAGCCACGGCCAAAAAGCAATTGACGTTTTTTTAAGCGGTTAGGGGCGAGTTATTAGCTGTAATATAATACACGATAGCTCTCTGCCTGTAACGTCACCTCTGCCTGTGACGTCAACTTGGCAGATACGCTATTGCGTATCTTGATATTGTGCATCAAGAGACACAGAGTGACACAGTGTCAACTAAGATATGTCTTTGATTAATTCTTACCGTTTTCCTTCTCGACACTGTGTTAAACATTACTTTAAGATGGAAGGCGCCAAGTGTGATTGACTTACACCAAAACTGGGCGCGCCAAGTGGACTTTTTTCCGAAAATCCAATTGGCAATTGGCGACGCTTATTACCGTTGGTGGCGTTTGTTTTTTCAAGATGGTTAAATAAAGAGTGCTCGTTGTTCTTCAGCGTCTCCAATGGCGACCTTTCCATTCATATACGTTACTGGATTCAGTCACTTGAGATGTTAGGTGCCTCTAATCAATATGATTTGTGAACGTCATGCTTGGCATCTTTTTTATTTCACCTATTTTTTTGTGAATAAAACTGAGAATATTTTTTGGGAATTTCACATATTTTTTTGTTAATAAAACTGAGAATATTTTTTGGCAATTTCACATATTTTTTGTTAATAAAACTAAGAGTATTTTTTGGGAAATTATGATGTTACAATAAAACCTCCACTTGGCAAAATTTTTTCACAAAAGTTTTTTTGTGATTTTTTCATAAATTAAATAATTGAGAACACAACGAAGATTGTTCTAAAAATTCCACTATTTTTCCAAGTTCCGGAGAGATCTCTTAAAATGTCGAAGAGTGGAGTCTGGCAATTTTTCTTTATAATTTCAGTAGAAGAAATAATTGTAATCAAAATATTATATATTCGAATGAGAAGATGTTGCTGCTATTCCGCGGATTTCTATCTCATGTATGGGGCACGATTTGTCTGGATCTGCACATGCCTTTATCATTGCAATCACTTCTTTGTATTTCTTTCCATCTTTCAACTCATTTTCTGAATAGTACGAAAAGAGCTTACTGAGTTTTGAATCATTAAAAATCCAAGAAGACCATCCAAGTAACCATCGTTACTTTTCAAACGTCCTCTATCCCATGAGAAAACCATACACTTATATTTAGATGATTTCCTTCGAGCCATCTATAAATATAAAATTGTAACGTGTTCATCGACTATTCATAAACAGTTTGAGAAACAATAGAATGCACCAGAAAAATAACCGACAAAATGATACGAATATTGGAGGTTATGTGGATATTGGAGAAACTTTGTGAATTCTTTCCTCATGCTTAAGGAACTCTCAATAATTGAGTGGACTATGAAACTTATCAAATTAATTTTCTGACTGTTTTAATACTCATTCATCCTGAAGATATTGGGGATTTTCTGAATGGAGAATGGGCAAACTGTCTCCATACTAAATATCTGGTGATTGAAAGCGAGGCAAACTCAGTTTGTTTTGACGAATACTAATCACTTGAGTCTATAAGTTGCTGAATAACTGGTCGACTTGTATTAATAATTAAAGTACATTATATTCGATGTAAAAATGTCGTGCAAAACGGGTAATCACTGTTGAGTGACTGTTAAGTGGGAGCACAGAATTCTGGGGAAAGAAGCCGTGGAACGCTTTGACACCATTTTGATCTTGCGAGTTATTGTTCTAGAAGTCTTAGAAAATTTTTTTTTTTCATAAGCGCGATGATTTACTACTATGGATAATAATTGGAACCGAATAGAATGAATCGTGTTGTATACTCGAATAAACTTAATCGTATTTCGGTAGTTCAACAAATTAAGACAACATTATTCACTTTTCTGCAGTCTTAATACGAAGTATATCTCTTAATATATCTAGTCGTGCCTAAAACTAGTTTGAAAGTACCCTAAAATTTTAGATAAAGTGGACATATATATGGTCAAGGGATATTGAGGGATAGTCATGCGATGGGTACTTGAGTGGAGTAAGGGTGATCTTGGTGATTCAGGGAAGCTGTTTAGGTCCGAGGATCTGGACCAGGGATGGCAACCTCTGCTCTGAGAGCAAGTCGTGCTCCCGACCTCTATTAGTACATAACAAAGAGTCGACGAAAGCTTATTGTGTCGGGTGATGGGTCTTTATGACCCAAGTCGTAGAGGGCCTTCTCCTCGGCTGAAATTAACCAAAGTGGGGGTAACACTTAGGAACAGGATAAGAGGAGAAGTATCGATAAAAAAAAGAAAAAGCGGGGAAATGAGTCAAAAATGGAAAATGTGAAATTTTTTTCACCATGACATTTTTATTAATTTTGAAAGGAGACGTTACAAATGAAATGTAAAAAACGACTGTTTAATTTCAGAGGCAAGAAAAAAATTCCACAATGTCATGATCCAGTGGTCCCGCAATTATTTATTCAAGAAATGAAATTGATTGAAGTAAAAATGTTAATTGAAGACAATTTTTGAAAAATATTATTTTTAAAAGATATTCCTGTTTTATATTCAGAATCAACATCAGCCGGTCAAAACTGCAATGTTTGGTATTTTTTCCTTGACATATTTTTAAGGCCGATATCGGACCAAAAATTAAAAACCAAGCTGAAAGATGTCATCAATTCGGGAAGCTGAATTTGAAGAGTACCTTCATTTTTATTTCAATGACCAATAGTTATCTTCATATTCAGAAAATTTTTTTCCATGTGTGGATTTTTAAATTTCCCTTTATATTAATCGCCGCGGTCATTCTCCCCATTTTACCATTTGGCAGACGTCATGGGACGCTCCCCAATACGGTGACTGTGAGGCCCCCCACTACTGTCCCCCTATGATCGTACTAGGACCCTTATAATTGGCATGGTTATAAACTTTATTGGATTCCTAACTCGAGTTTGAGACTCTGCTCCGAGCTACCTGGAGGGTGCCCATCCCTGATCTGAACGAATCCGAGATGTGTAGATTGTTTCATTGGGAACACAGCAATTAAGGCTGGGGTCTTGAGCAGGCATGGGTAAAGTGCGCTCAATCGGCTCACCTAGCTCCCAACCTCAATTAGGCCAATGACTATAAAATAAGGGGTCCTATTGTACCGTGCAGGTAGTTGGAGGGGCAAGACCACGATGCTTGGGTCAGAGTGGGGGAATCGTTACGTCAGGCAACGCGCAAAAATTTGAATTCTTGAACGAAAAATATCAATATTTTTCTTGCCGCATTTTGCATTGTTAAAAAATATCAATTAATCAATTTTCCCTCTATCAACATCCGCATAAAATTCCGTTGAATAAATTACTCTGAATTGA